TCTTCCAAGCTCCATCCAAAAACCCAAAAACTCCACAAAAATATTAAAATACTAAAATCCCAAAAATATTTAAAATAAAATAAATCCATAAAAAAACTTAAAGCAAAATCCATCCACCCTCCGCAATAGTTTGCTGAGGTGGACAAATTTGAAAATTACTTCAGCTCACAAAGAGCGAAATGCCTAGTCGAAAATATCACTATGATCCATTCTCAAACAATCTCTTGCCAATAAGGACGTGGTACGTGTCCTATAACCGGCATTTTCGCAGCCAAATGGCACTGCAGGTAAATGGTTATGACCCGGGGCCCTCTGAACCTAGTGGTTTTGCCGCCAAATGGCACCACAGATAGCGGTTATGGCCAGAGCCAATATGTTCCGTAATGACGTCAAATCCTTGAGATATGAATCAATAGGATATGATTGATAGGGCACAAAGCCCTCTGTAAGCTAAGGTGAATTCAAATTTGTCCCCTTAGACAAACATCCAACCAGGTCTACAAAGTCCCCTTGGACGAAGCAACCCATGGCTGCCGACAAGGATCCTTCTGTTAGGTTGGATCGACTACCTCCTCTGACTAAGTAGATCAGGGACCAGATGGCCCGGGACGACGGAACCATAGGATCTTGATCGGGTCTATCATCCATTCCCCCACCATCCGCTTTGAGCACGAGATGGTGAAAATTTCTATTTTAAATATCAAAAACCTTCAAATTTTCATATATCAAATTTCCCAAATTCTCAAACTTCCAAACATTTCAAATACCTAAATCCATTGCTTCTACTATATGCCTAACACATATTCTATACGTATCTGATTAATGACTAGCATTAATCGAAAGTTCTCTCTCGTGACCGGGAGGGGTAATTAACTATAGGGGCTTGTGCCTATAGGAAACCAGAACTCAGATCATAAAGTCCTCGCAAAATGAGGGCGAAATCTCTGGGTAGTGTCTTATCTACAAACCCATCTGCCTTCCAAAATTTACCTTAGAACATATCCGTTAAAACTCCCTCGCCGAATAAAAAAAGAAAAGCGCGGCGGGGAGGCCGGGGCCGAATTTTCGGAGCCCACAGTGGAAATGACCCTCAAACACCCCAATGATGGCCGTGTTGAATGTTTATCTCAACCGGAGGGGTTCACAAACATTTCAAATGACTCCCAAATATCCAAATGTCTTCCAAGCTCCATCCAAAAACCCAAAAACTCCACAAAAATATTAAAATACTAAAATCCCAAAAATATTTAAAATAAAATAAATCCATAAAAAAACTTAAAGCAAAATCCATCCACCCTCCGCAATAGTTTGCTGAGGTGGACAAATTTGAAAATTACTTCAGCTCACAAAGAGCGAAATGCCTAGTCGAAAATATCACTATGATCCATTCTCAAACAATCTCTTGCCAATAAGGACGTGGTACGTGTCCTATAACCGGCATTTTCGCAGCCAAATGGCACTGCAGGTAAATGGTTATGACCCGGGGCCCTCTGAACCTAGTGGTTTTGCCGCCAAATGGCACCACAGATAGCGGTTATGGCCAGAGCCAATATGTTCCGTAATGACGTCAAATCCTTGAGATATGAATCAATAGGATATGATTGATAGGGCACAAAGCCCTCTGTAAGCTAAGGTGAATTCAAATTTGTCCCCTTAGACAAACATCCAACCAGGTCTACAAAGTCCCCTTGGACGAAGCAACCCATGGCTGCCGACAAGGATCCTTCTGTTAGGTTGGATCGACTACCTCCTCTGACTAAGTAGATCAGGGACCAGATGGCCCGGGACGACGGAACCATAGGATCTTGATCGGGTCTATCATCCATTCCCCCACCATCCGCTTTGAGCACGAGATGGTGAAAATTTCTATTTTAAATATCAAAAACCTTCAAATTTTCATATATCAAATTTCCCAAATTCTCAAACTTCCAAACATTTCAAATACCTAAATCCATTGCTTCTACTATATGCCTAACACATATTCTATACGTATCTGATTAATGACTAGCATTAATCGAAAGTTCTCTCTCGTGACCGGGAGGGGTAATTAACTATAGGGGCTTGCGCCTATAGGAAACCAGAACTCAGATCATAAAGTCCTCGCAAAATGAGGGCGAAATCTCTGGGTAGTGTCTTATCTACAAACCCATCTGCCTTCCAAAATTTACCCCGGAACATATCCGTCAAAACTCACTCGCCGAATAAAAAAAGAAAAGCGCGGCGGGAGGCCGGGGCCGAATTTTCGGAGCCCACAGTAACGATGCACAATTGTATATATTTGTTTATTGCTCATTTGTTTTCACCCCTAATTTTTTATAAGGCGATCAGGCGATAAGGAGATGGAACTTGCTTTGCTTTTGTTTCTGAACACTGTTTCTATTTGATTTTGAAAGTTAAATGCCATTCCCTGGAAGCTACAGTATCCATATTCTCATAGTGGTGCTTAGACTCGCCATGTGAAAATTCTCTATTTTAATTACCCTTGCCAAGTAGTCTACAGTAGAAGATGTTCACTTATTTTTTATAGGACTTGCACTTGAAAATATGATGTGATTGTGGCAGATTTTCTTAGACTTCAGATAGTATTTTTCAATTTATATTAGTCCTTTAATCCCCGTCTCTCTCTCTCTCTCTCTCTCTCTCTCTCTCTCTCTCTCACACACACACACACACACCTACATCATGCTCTTGTGCTTTTAACTAAATGGTAATCATTAACGTGACCTTCAATCTAATTAAGCGCACGCTTGATCTTGTTTTAGAAAAATCGTGCTGTTCTTAATTACATATATTCAGGTTAATACTAAGCCATATGATGAACAAAAGCAGTATGTCAATGTGCGACTTTTCATCAGGTGCAGCTTGACTATCCTGTTTGTTGCGTTCGTTACACGTAGTTGAAGAATATAGTTCATTAATGGGTATTTTTTTTTTAAAATCTCTCCAATGCAATTATGTTTCTGGCAACTCCACTAAAAATTTTGATTCTTTCAATATGAGGATTTATAACGGATGCTTCTAATTGGATTTTTTGACCTTTTTTTTTTGCTGTATCTCGCCCCAACTTAAAATATCATTGATTATGCTCTTTTGATGTTTACCATAGGTACCTCATCATTCCATTGGTCGTGCTTGCGTTGCTTTGAAATACATCCTATTGGGTTTGTCAGGGCAAGTCGATGATGTACTAGCAAAGTATAAGGTCTGTAAACTCTTGCACTAGATGCTATGATTGGATGAATAATTTATTTGACACTAAAAATCATATTATTTATATTTACTCAGAACTTTCTCCCTTTGCCCATTTTCAGGAACACAAGCACAACCTTCTCTTTCTCATTGAAATGCTAGAACCCTTTCTAGATCCTGCCATATTGTCTGTGAATAATACTGCACGTTTTGGAGATGTATCTGCTATCTTTTTGGAAAAGCAAGATAATAATTGTTCTTTTGCACTCAATATTATCCGTGCAGCTGTTAGAAGGCCTACTGTTCTTCCCTCCTTGGAATCTGAATGGAGACGTGGATCTGTTTCTTCAAGGTTGGTCAAACACTGCCAAACCTCCTAATTGTTGAACTGTTTGTTGAAGCGATGTCTCAGTTAACAGTAGATTTGAAAATTCTTTTGAATCATCTTGAAATCATGATGCTTCCATTAGAATTTTTTTTCTCAATTACAATAATGACATGAATTGTTTAAGAAATTGTGTTAATGCTAGGGCGTCCTCTGGAAACGACGCGCTGTATGGCCTGAATACAGTGACAAGTGTGTAAGGGCCGCTGCACCGACGCCCGGATGCAGTGCTAAATAGGCAAGGGTTTCCATATCAAGGACGGATGTGGGCAAAGAAGCTAGTCCATGAAACTAAAATTAGGATAGGAACTTGAAATATAGGTTCCCTTATAGGAAAATTAATGGAATTAATAGATATTATGATTCATAGGAAGTTAAATATTTTATACATTCAGGAAACTAAATGGGTTGGAGAGAAGGCTAAAGAAATTGATATTTTAGGATTTAAATTTTGGTATTCGGGTAGGAGTCTGTACTAGAAATGGTGTAAGTATTATTATAGATACGAGTTTAAAGGATAATGTTATAAAATTAATAGGATTGGAGATAGAATTATAGATTTAAAGATTGTTGTTGATAATAAGATTGTTAATATTATAAGTGCTTATGCTCCTCAAGTAGGTTTGGATATTAGTTCTAAATTAAATTTTTGGAACGACTTAGAAGAATTAATACAAAAGATACCTCTTGAAGAAAGAGTTTTTATTGGAGTAGATTTAAATGGACATGTTGGTAGAGAGGTAGATGATTTTAAAAGCATTCATGGTGGCCATGAATTTGGAACGACGAATGAAGGTGGTAAGACCATATTGGATTTTTGTTTAGCTTATGATTTTTCAATTGCTAATACCTTATTTAAGAAAAGGAATGAGCATCTCAACACTTATAAAAATGGATGTAGTACAACCCATATTGACTATTTTCTTATTAGAAAATTAAATCGTTTAGATTGCAAAGATTGTAAAGTTATTCCAAGTGAAAATTTATGTACCCAATATCGATTATTAGTTTTGGACTTTAAGATAAATTGGCATAAAATAAAAAATAAAGTAAAACGGTTTTCTAGGATTAGATGGGGTCATTTAAAGAATATTAACAAAAATATTTTTGAGAATAAGATTTTAGATCTTAAGATTTTGTCTGTGCATGAGGATGCTAATTGTGAGTTTGGGCGATCAAGTTATTAATAAGAGCACACGTTTTAGATATCTTGGATCTATTGTTCAGGGTCATGGTGAAATAGATGGGGATATTATTAGCAGAATTCAAGTTGGATGGTTGAAGTGGAGGAATGCATCGGGCTTCTTATGTGATAGAAATCTACCCCTCAAACTTAAGGGAAAATTCTATAAGATGATAGTGAGGCCTACAATGCTTTATGGTGCCGAATGTTGGCCATTAAAAGAGAAGCATAATACTAAGTTAAGTGTGACAGAGATGAGGATGCTCAGGTGGATGAGTGGCTTTACCCTTAGAGATAGGATACGAAATAAGCATATACGTGAAAAGGTTGGAGTAGCTCCAGTAGAAGATAAGATTAGAGAGAGTCGCCTTATACGGTTTGGTCACATAAAATGGCGGCCTTCCGTTGACCCGGTTAGGAGAGTAGAGGTATTAGATTTGACTTATGTTAAGAAAGGTAGGGGTAGACCTAAAATGACTTGGTTAGAAAATATTAAGAATGACCTTTCTTTATTAGATTTAAACGAGAATTTGATTTTTAATAAGACACAATGGCCAAAAAGGATTCAAGTAGCCGACCCCACGTAGTGGGATAAAGGCTTGTGTTGTTGTTGTTGTACAACTTAAGAAAATAATCTTCATGCTCAATTTTCGTCCTTTCCCATATGAAGTTAATTTCTTTGACAGAACATATTTGTTACATTTCCACGTCATTGAATAGTTCTATTACTCTATTATTCTTTGCAGTGTTCTTCTTTCCATCCTAGGTCCGAATATGCCATTGCCCTGTGATATGGATCTCTTCAAATGTTCTACTGCTGAAGTTGTTGAACCAGGATTATTTAAAAGCCCTTCAGGCTCTTCAGTTTTCCCAAATGTATTTATCTCCAAATTCAGTAATTCCAGTAATGTGGATGGAAAGATTGATGGAAATGATACTATTAAAATTGATGTCCTTGAAGAGGCAAGCTTTTTATTTGTCCCGCAAGAATTAAAAAATGCGGGTTTGATGAGCTTTTCTAATTATTGTATAAAGGGTAGCACTGAGAAAAGTTGTGAACCAACTAATTGTGGGAATGAAGGTAACAATATGGAAAATTGGATATTGATGGACCACTTTAAGTTGGATAGCGGGTTCTTTGGTGATTACTTCAATTTGAAAGTGGATTATTTAAAACTGGCCAATCTCCATGACTGTGAGCTCAGAGCTGCCGAGTTTCAACAGCTAGCACTAGATTTGTGTTCTCAGGGTGATATTACTGCAGAAGGCTATGATGCTGCGATAGATGCTTTTATATTAGCTGCTGAATGTTATATCAATCCTTTCTTTATCATTTCTTTCACTCCCAATTCTAAGCTTGCTAAACACCTGGACCTTATCAAATCTAAAATGAAGCAAAGCAACAGCATTATGGAAATCAAAAAAGACTTCCTGAAAACTGCAGCTGATTTGGAGATTATTTCCCATCTTGAAAGAAAGAGAGACAAAACTGTTATAGAGATTCTAGTTCAGGCTGCCAGAGTGAACAAGGAGTATAGATTAAGACAATCAAAACCTTGTCCAGATGATATTGAGCACAGACAGCAGGACTTAAACATACTCCCCCATGTTATTAAGGCTGTTGATGCAGTGACATTGCTTCGGCAGAATCAGAGTTTGTTATTTGAGTTTGTAATTCAGCAATTACAAAAAGAGCAACATCTATCACATGAAGTTCTCCTACAGGCTTTGTTGTTTCTTTTGCAGTCTGCTACTGAGCTTCTGTGCCCTCCCGAGGCTGTGGTTGATATAATACTTCTTTCAGCCGAGAAATTTAGCTTGCCTCTCATGTCTCTGAATAATAAACTTGACAAAGGGTCTGCGCTTTTTGATTCGGAGAAGTTGTATGGGTTACGGAGGTGCTGGTTACTTCTTGAAAGATTAGTCATAGCATCATCTGGATGTGATATTGGTGTAATGTCTAGAAAAAGTGCCTATGGAACTCAATGTAGAAGCTTAATTCCGCTTTCATCATGGATAAACAAGATAACAAAGTTTTCAAATGCTAGCCCTATTTCTCGTTTCCTTGGGTGGATGGCTGTGTCCTGTTACGCGAAGCAATATCTGAAGGAACGTTTGTTCTTTGCCTCAGATCTTTCACAACTTACATTGCTACTTGCTATTTTTGCTGATGAACTTACATTTGTGGATAATACATTACAGCTGAATGCTGAAGAATCAGTGCATTTCAAGCAGTCAGATGCTTTTGGACATTTGCAAGTTCAGAAGGAATCCACACATTCATATACTTCAGAACGAGGGGATTCATTTGACTTTCTTTATCCTTCCTTGCAGAAACTTCTTCCAGATATGAGAAGAAAATTTAGATCGTTTGGAGAGATAATTTTAGAGGCTGTTGGTTTACAGTTGAAATGTCTTCCCTCCAGTTCCATTCCAGAAATACTTCGTTGGTTTTCTGACTTATGCATGTATCCATATGCTGAAGCAATGAAAATTCAAGATCTTACCTCTGCAAGCTCTTTTGATTATTTGAAAGGATATACTGCTACAAATGCTAAAGTGATAGTCCTATACCTATTGGAATCTCTCGTTACTGAGCATATGGAATCAATGCTTCCTGAGATGGCTAGGGTGGTACAAATATTGATATCACTATGCAAAACCTCATATTGTGATGTGGCATTTCTTGATTCTGTACTGTGTCTGCTGAAGCCTCTTATCTCATTCTTTCTAAAAAGGGTGACTTTGGATGAAAATATGTTGGCTAATGCATCATCCTGCGAAGATTTTGAGTTATTAAATTTTGAAGAACTAATTGATAGTATCAAGCACAAGAGAGACTTGCAGAATGGTTCTGGTGTGGATAAATTTCAAGGATCTTTGATGATCTTTATTTTGGGTAGCCTTTTTCTTGACTTGTCCTTGAAGAGGAAGATTGATATTTTGCAATCATTGTTGCTGTGGGCTGGCTTTGCTTCTTCAGAGCCAACCTCTTCTTTCTTTAATTATCTTTGTGCTTTCAAAAAGGTCTTTGATAGCTGTCAAATGCTATTGGAGCAACAGTTAGAGCAGTTTGGCCTTGTTATACCCTGTGAGGGGCAAGAACTTGTGGGATCACATGAAAGGGTAAGCCTTCAAGAGAAGACAGAGCTATCTTCTCGTTTTTCCAATTATAGAGATCAGAGAGTCACAGCCAAGCCTCCGAAAGATTTTGTCAGTAGTGAGACTATTGCTGACCTCCCAGGTCTAGAAATTCATCAGTTATCCATTGAAGAAATGAAAGAATTCTCGGAAGTGTTGGAAGTATTAGTTCTGAAGCTTATTCCAGAAATTGAGAAGACCTGGAAATTGCATTGTAAATTGGCAAACCAACTCACAGTGAAGATAGCACGATGTTTCTTATTATCAAGCTGCTTGAAATTTATTTATATATCAGACTCTAGTATAAATTATAATAATGGTGAAAACATACCCTATAATAGTTACCGTGACCTTCCAGATTTTTGGAAGAATGGTCTGCAAGGCTTTACAATTGCCATACTAGCAATTCAGGAAAATGAATGTTGGCAAACAGCATCTGCCATGCTTGACTATCTCTTCAGGTTGCCACAAACTTTCTCTCTTGACGATGGTCTCTGTAATATATGCTCTGCAATAAAGCTTTTTTGTCTTCGGGCTCCAATGATATCATGGAGATTGCAGACAAATAAATGGCTGACCTGTTTATTTGGTAGGGGTATAGGAAATATTGATGTATTGGGGGATTCATTGGTTGATTTGTTCAGCACAATGCTTTGTCACACTGAACCTGAACAACGAGGTGTTGCACTGCACCATCTTGGAGTAATGGTTGGTTTAGATACCTATGATGGTGCAGCCATGCTATCATGTACATTTCGTTCAAATTTGGGTGGGTCTGAGCAAGTTGCATCTCTTTCTGAGTTGGCCATTTCCACTTTGGTTTCAAACACATGGGATAGGGTGGCAGCCTTGATTTTGTCCGAGCCTTCTATGATGTTAAAATCACATGCAATGGCACTCTTGTCTGGTTATGTTCCCTTCGTGATGCGTCCACAGCTGCAGTCCTTTCTTATTTCAGCTGGTAATATCTTGCAGGGTATGGGAAAGCTTGCACCCTTAATGGAGGAAGGCTGTTTGACACGGCTTTCTTTAGGCCTTCTTGCAAGTGCATGCCTATACTCTCCTGCTGAGGATCTAGAATTGCTACCTGAAAGTATTTGGAGAAATTTGGAGCAGATAGGAACTTCCAGAACTGGTAACTCAGCTTGCACCTCAAGGCACCTCTAATTTCATTAGGTGTTCTTTCTTGTTGAAGGAATTGTTGGTAGGTGTTGGAATATCTTTATTTGCTTAATTTTTCGTTAATCAACATTAATTTTATGTAGGATGGCTAGATGATGTGGAGAAAAACATATGTTTAGCATTATGCAGGCTTCGAACTGAGTTAGTTGGTGGAAAAGAGGTTCGTTCCTCTTTTTATAAAATCTAGTTATATTGGCATCTTTAATGATACTGTATTATTGCTAGAAAAATGCAAACTTCATTTAATTAATCTTAATTTTTTATAGTATTCTTTTCATAATTGCAGGTATGATTTTATTTGTTCATATTCGAAAGCCCTGTTTATCCTGCAATGCCATTTTTTAGATTCTCTGATTTTGCATTGAAGACTCTTTAAAGAAGCACTTGTACATATTTCTAACATTTTTTTACCTTGAATGTTATTTTTGAGATTATTGTTTTTTTTCATTGAAGGCTCTAAAGGAAGCACTGTCACGCACTCGAAGTACAACGCTTGGTGATTCTAATTTTCAAAACATTCGTGAATCAATTCTACAGGTGAGTGCTTCATCATATTATTATGACCACTAATTGTTGAGTTACATTCACAAAAGCGGGCATAAATAATGCGTATGCTCTATGTTTACTCACAAAAACGTGCATATATAATGTATATGGGCATATAATGAACAAAGCTCCATCAATTATCTATGTTTATGCTAATGATGCTCCAGAATCATTCTATATATATGGATAAATATAAATAATTGATTATGCACACATTTATGTTCCCCAATATGATTAGTGATGCAAAACATCTTAGTTAAAATGTTCCTTAGGGATAGTTGATCTAGTTTAGTACCTATTTCTAGAAAGTTGTAGGGGTTTCTATTATTATGTTATAATTAACTATTGTAGGAGGTAGAAAAGATATATGATGAGTATTTTTGGGATTTAACAGTATTTACTGTTCTTGGTGTTCTTACTCTTAGGAGCTATCTTCTTTAATAATTTCTCCCCACATCAGTTGATATTAAAGCTAGAGGTTCTGAGAGACCTGGATGAAGGAAGTTACTTCAACCTTTGATGGGGATTAGGGTTTGGATGCTTTGGGGAGATCATAGATGAAGGAAACTACATCAACCCTTAACGACGATCCGGGTTTGGACACTTTATGGGCAGTGCAAGCGAGCTTCACAAGCGACCTCCACCAGCTAGCGACTTAACCTCCACCAGCCAGCAACCATGCCAACAAATACACATAACACTTCTCTGCTTCTGCAGAAAGGTTGTCAAGTTCATGCCTTGATTCAATTTTGATTTGGAATTGGATTATTTGTGGTTTCTCCATCCTGTGTCAGTTTGAGTCAATTTGTTGTTCTATTTAAAGATGTTTTGTCCTATTGTGGCTTATCGACCATTGGTTTGGTTAATCACGTTTATAAGATGATTTGTCTGGTGGGAATGGAGACGGATGTTTTTGTGAGAAGTTCTTTGATAAAGATTCATGCTGGAAACAATTATATTGAAGAAGCAAGGAAGGTGTTTGATGGACTGCCTGAAAGAGATTGTGTATCGTGGAATATAATGATGGATGGATATGTTAGAACATCAAAATGCCTTGGAGATTTTCGAATGGATAATGAGCGCGGGATGAGGAATTCACTTTTCCTCTAAGGGGTGCCCGAATTGTCATTGCTTCGAAGTGCCTGAGTATGATATGTCTGAGAAGGATGACTTTGGGGGGCAGACCTGCTTTCCAGTGTCTCAGTTAAAACTAGGAATCAGGACAGTGACATCGTTCAATCACTATGGCTGCTATAGTGATATTGAGATTGTTCCAATTTGAAGATGGAGATTGGAGTGACACCAAAGAGAATTTTCTACAACCATCTGATCAAAGTCATGTGTAAAGATGGAAACGTTGATGAGGTTTAGAGAGTATTGCCTCCCGTGCGTCCACAAGCCTGTGCCCCTCTCTCGGCATCCTTAGCTTCCAAATCATGTTCCGGATTCTTCAGACCAAAGGAGTATGATGTAGAGCATCTTAGCTAAAATATTCCTTAGGGATAGTACTTATTTTTAGAAAGTTCTAGGGATTTCTATTATTATATTATAAATAGCTATTGTAGGAGGTAGAAAAGAGAATATATGATGAAATTTTATTTTGGATTTAACAATATTTACTTTTTTGGTGTTCTTGCTCTTAGGAGCCGTCTTCTTCAATGATTTCTCCCCCCATCAATAAGCATAAACCAGTTCACATTATGATGTTTATGCTTAATGCAATTTACATTAATCATAAATGCATTCATGAATCAATTCTCCAGGTTGGCCAATGTTCCTCTATATGATTTAGTTACACATATTTTATGCTAGTTGGATAAACATAGAGAATTGATTCTGGAGCATATGTTCTATTTATTCTCTATGCAATTTTCCAATTAGACCATGAGAAAAATTATGAATTTATATGCAATTTACCATATAATGAAAGATACATAATAAAATGCAATTACCATGTCATTGTGGCTCCATTGGTATCATTCACGATCTACTAAGAATAATATACTATTGGAATTGATTCCAATAGTATTTTCTTAATTAAATATCTATTATATTACCTCGAATTGATTCCATGTTTTGGTTGTTTTTAGCTCTTTTGCTTCTCCCATTCAATTGTTTTGCAGGTTCTTCCATCTCTAACTTCTACTCAAGCATATTTTGATTTCTTTTCTAAGAGAGCTGATGAAGAATCTCAGGTTAAATAAAAATTCTCATTTTGTGATAACATGATTTACTTTAGCATTTTGTTTTCTAATTTTTTTTTTCATTTGAAAAAAATAGGAACTAGAAGAAGCAGAAATTGAAATAGATCTTCTTCAAAAAGAGAAGGCGATGCAAGAAGTACTTGGCAATTTAAAGGAGGACTATGTAACTTGTAAAATAACTAGAACTTGCAGCTTGGATTTTGTTGACTTGGCCTTGAATTTCTCTGTTAATTCTGCAGATGATAAGGATGATAACCGCCTCCAACAAATAAAGGATAATATCCGGTCATTGTAAGTTTGAATATTATGGATAAAATGAACTAGCACAATTTTGAGTTTAGTCCTAATTCATTTTGTCCAGGTTATTGACGACAGTTGTTTAACCTATAGATATGCTTTTCAAGTTCAGTTCTATGCTTAATATTGTTTTTGGTTCCTATATTAGTTTTCTTCTTTCTCGATGTTTTTTTAATTTTAATCAAGTAATTATTTCTTTATTTTATTTTTATTTTTAAAAATTATTGATAAGGTAAGCATAAAACTGAATTATTTAATCTTGCTTTTTTTTTTTTGTTTCATTAATCTAAATGTTTTGTGATTTTGCTTATGCCTGTGCACATGTGCCCCCTGATTATTCTAATTGTACTTGATTTCTTGATGACCTCACAATATTTGGTATATTGCATCTATTACTTTTGAATTGTCCAAAACTTACCTTTTAAGATAGCACAAGTACTTCGTGATTGGGATCACAGTTTTGATTCAATTTATTGTCTATGCAAGTGGTATAATAGAATGCCATTCAGATAAGGTTTTCCAGACTGGCCTAATGTATATGGTGTAAGAAATTGTTTATTCTCTTATTTTGTGTTCTCCCAGTTGTCTTTCTGCGGCATGAACATTTCTGCATGTTTATTAGGAGCTTCACAGGTAGCTTAGAATCTTCGTACTCTGCTTCTGTGTATCGGTCTTCAAACTCTGTTACCATATATGTTCTTGGATATCAACACTATTGTTCCTGAACAGCAGAAATTTGATTCCACTGCTTATATATTCGTTCAAAGCTCTTGTTTCCTCATGCATTTTATTTTATTTTCTTCTATTTTTAGAGAGCACTCTAAACTTAAAGAAGAAGTAGCTGTCCGTATGCAAAAGAAACTTGTCATGAGACGTGCTCGTCAAAAATTTTTGGAAGAGGTAGCTTCAAAAGAAATGGAACTCCTAGAGGAACTTGATAGGTTTGCCAAAAAAAATACTATTGAAACTCAAAACAATTGCATAAGTTTACATTTTTATTTTATTCCTTTTACCATCTCTATCAGGGAAAGGAAACATGAATTGGAACAAGAGATTGAAAGACAGCGCCAATTGGAACTTGAGCGTGCCAGAACAAGGGAACTCCAGTTCAATCTTGATATGGAAAAAGAAAGGCAAAGCCAGGTAGCATTATTTCAACTTAACTAGCACTTACAGTTTGTTAGGTTTATAAGGAAGTCATGAAAATTTGAGAGCGTGCACTCATTGGAAATATAGGTTGGGGGAATTAAATGAGAGTGCATTAATATTTTGAATTATGATGCTTTAACTTTTGTTTGTCATTTCAGAATTTTTTATTTTCTAGTTTGTTTTCTAGATGTAAAATGCATATGATAATGGTTTCTAGAAGAGGTTCTCTAGTGTTTTTTACCTCGTTAGTTTTGATTTATTGCCACAAGTTATTTTAATTCATCTCTTGGATTCCCTCAATCATTTCTTTCGGGCCATCTAATTTGATATATTTCTATTGTTCCCTATTTGTGCAATATAGTTTGGAGCAGAATCTGTTGATTCCTTTTGGTGGCACTACACTATAAAGGCAGTATTGCTATTGTTGTGACTTCCAAACTGTTTTCCCTGTGCAACACATGCTTTTATCAGTTGTTCCTTTTTTTTAGCAACTGAATCTGTAACTTTCGTATTTTCTACTATAGAGAATTTTTCAATATTTTACGAAGACTTGGAGGATTATGATAAGTTATTGAGTTTATTCTTTTTTTAGTTATAAATAGAACTGTAGGCTTTCAATTTACAATGAATGACCGCACGAAATTTGTAATGAATGACTGTATCGCATCATTAATTTGCATTAGTGAACCCTAGACCTTTAAGTTGTCTTTCATCAAGAATGATTTGTGCTGAGAAATTGTCAAAAAATTGGAATTGGTATAGGATGTTACTTTCATTTAGCTCGTCATTTTAGGAGTCTCTTAACTTCCCTATCTGTTTAGGGTTTCAAAAGTTGGGCTGCAGTACGAGAGTAAGCGTTAGCTACATTATGACCCAAGGCTTTAAGATGGGGATTTGACTTCACCGACTACCCAATAATGGTTCAATAGAAAACCATACGTTGGCATGCCCTTAAATTGGTCATGGATGGACATGGCTTCAAGGTCTGTGCTTAACTGCTTATACTCTCATTGAGGCCTTTGGTATGATCCATGCTAAGCATATGTATACCCTAGCAGGTCAACATTTTGGAGCTAAACTTTAGCAAGAGCGTTTTTTTCCTCTTCTTTTTATTTGGAAATGGTTGATTAGTTAAAATTGCTTGTTAATGACTGCAGATATTAAAGAATTATGATATTTAGAGTTCATCATTCTGTACCTCTTTCAGTTCAGTTTTGTTAGCTTATGTCACTACGATTGTACCTCGTGCAGAGAGAGCTTCAAAGGGAATTGGAACTGGTGGAATCTGGGGTTCTGTCATCTCGGAGGGAAATCTCCTCTAGATCTAGCAGGTGACTGTTATGTTGATTTTGTTATATTTAGCTTTATAGTATGAAATATTTACTTTCTGATCTTGAGAAAATTTTGATTAAGTTCATTTGTAGACATGGTTCTTTCGATGCTGAGTTTGTTTATTCATCTAGGTTATTTCATACGCATATGTGCTAATAGGATTAATTTGGCTTTGACAATTTTTCGCTGCTGCTTTTGAGAATCGTTTATAGAGACTGCGTTCAAATAGTTATTAGTAAAGAATTTCTGCTTGGCTGCAATTCAAACAAATATTAAGATTTTCTATGGATAAATTCTGCCATTTATATCTTGCCTTTTATGGTCTCAATCATTGCTTTGATTCGACCTAGGGAGAAGTTTCGGGACACTGGAAGGTCGGGACTTGATGGAGGACTTAGACCTGTTAGCAGAGGCCATGAGAGAGGTAGCACAATTCAAACAGCAGGTTCTTCATTTAATACATATTCCACACCAGTAATGGTACTTTCTAGCTCGAAGTCCTCTTCAGGTCAGCATCCGACCATATTGCAGCCAAGGGACAGACCAAGCGAACGCAGCAGTCCTAGTTTTGAAGACAATCATGAAGGAAGTAGGGATTCAGGTGATGCAAATAGCATCGGTGATTCTGAATTATCTCTAGCTTTTGAAGGTGGGTTTAGTTCAGCACCCAGGCGAGGCAGCAAGTCGAGGCAAGTCATGGAACGGAGAGAGAGGGACGGGAGGCGTGAAGGGAAGTGGGAAAGAAAGCATGGTTGAGATGGAGAACATTTCTAAGATTTTGCCTTGCAGCAGTTTTTGCTGAAGCTCCGTTTCCATGAAATTCTTCTGGAGTGACCTTCATAATATCTAAAGGAGCCGTCTGTGTTAAGCACTCTTTGAGTGTTGGCGCGTCTGCTTGACCTTGCAATGTTCTACGAAATGCCGATCTGACTTCCGTGCACTTGAATCATTGTGGAGTTATCAGATGTGATGGAAGCTTAATCTGATATTGAATTTGGCTCGAGGGAATCCACTTTTTTGAATTCCAGAACTTTCGGGGCATTGGCTGTGTTTTGAGCGACCTTAACCAAGTTTCAGGAGCTTCTTAGCTTTTCTGCTGGAACAGTTAAATGCAGCCGAATTCTTGTTGTGGAGTCCAATATATGATCTTTCGGAATCTTTCTTGTATATCAAAAATAGATAGCTAGATAGCCTCCGGGTTGCATCTTTTTATTTTAATAAGAAAATGGTTCCTTCTCAGGCTATGTGGACTGTTAGAACTTTTTTCTGTGTGGTTATGTGGTGGAATTTTTTATTAGGAGCTTGCAGTCTATCTTGTGAGATTGCGTTGTAAAATGAAGATAATGGATTTAAATTATGCAAATAGTCTGTGTAATAAATATCGAAACATTGTGTGAAGCCTTTCCAATTTTAATCATGTTTTGATAGGAGGTGGATAATGTACTTTCTCTTTTAATGTCAGATCGATGCATGCTATGTTGGAATATCGATTTGGTGAAAATAAAGGATTTCATTCGTATGATAATTTGTCAAGTCTACGGATAATTTATGAAATAGCTAAATGAGGAAGTGCTCGTGTCCGTTAGACTTGCTTCGAGATTTAGGTTTGGTTTTGGTGAGATTTTTACTATTTATTAAATCAATTTTTTAGTTAGAAATTTTTTATATTAAAAAGTTGCTTTAAAAATAATAGAAAAATTATCCCAAATAAAATCTTAATCTTATGAAGGCAAATTCAAGTCAATAATCAATGAAAAGTGCAAAGATTCTTCTAAGATCAATTAGTCCGGTTTATGAGGTAATGATGCCTTTCAATGAAAATTAATAAATTTGTTTTATTTTACATATAGAAGAATAATAAAAATAGATAAAATAATTGTCTTATTTATACTTATTCATCTCTTCAAACATTTTAATATTTATGTTTTGAATTAATTTAACATTTTGTAGCTTATTTTATCTTTATTTGCTAATTATGTAATTAGTGATAAAAGTATAATTTGCTAATTGTTCTGATTTGGATTACATTATATTTTAGCAAACATGATTTTATTTTTATATATTTATTAAATTTATTAATTTTGTTATCTGTGCTTAATTATCCTAATTTGTTAATATTTAGCTATAATTTAAATATATAATCATCAGCTTAAATTACTTATAATGTAGTTAATCTTGTAGCTTAGCAAATTTGATTGAGCTTCAATCTTTTGTTATCAATAAATTTGCTATCAGAAGTACTTATCTTATAAAAAAAAAATTGATTAGACCACAGAAGTAAATCTCACCTTTAGCCAATTATTTAAGCTCGCCCCATAATTCTTCATCAAAGGAAACTTCCATCACATTAAACATATTTTTCATGATGAAATTGATCAAGCCAAGAAAATAAAAGTACTAAGAAGTAAATAACTAATAAAAAGATGAAGGTAAAAACTAATATTTTATATAATTTGACACTAACGTCTACATCCATGCCTTGACACCTCCATTCTAAGGATTCACTAATCTCTCATTAAGTCAACATCGAGTAAAGAAGCCTTTCTCCATAATGAATAATGGTGAAATCATACACTCTCTTCTTCTACTACAAGTGACAAAATTGTTGTACTAGCCCACTATAGTCTACCTCTACTTACAATAAGAAGCTAGAATGAAATCACTCTAATCTCTTACAAAACTTGATGAACAACAAGTTTTCACACCAACATTCAGAACACTAGAAGATTATTAGGATAAGAAGATTGAAAATAATACTGGATGCATACGCTCTCAAGAGATTTCTTTTTTACTTCGGATTTTAAACAGAAAGCTTTAAATTATCTCTTTCAAAACACCATCCTTTGAATCATTTCTCACGCACACATTTTAAGTTTTTAAGAATATTTTATATACAAAGCATCCAAAAATAAACCCTAATACTATCTTTACTTGAAAATGATATCATAAATTTTCTTTCATTTTTTAAATAATTGACTCACAACTCCTATAAAAGTAAAAGGACAATAATCATATGTCTCATATTTGTAAATAAGATTATTTATATCCTACACATCATATAGTAAATTATTCAAACAATTAAGCACAAGTAGAAACATCCTAACTAATAAACAACCAAACTTGCAAAGTCATATGCTGTGCAACATGTATTTTTCTAGCAAGCCATAGACCTAACCACAACTACTCTATGCCAAGTGATTAAGGGATTGTGAACTATTGCAACATCTAAGTTGGTGCAAAATTCTTGGTGTAGTTAGGGTAACCACTTGTGAGTATGATAAGCTATAAAATTTGTTTACCTCACAGGATCCAACTAAACTGAAGCATTTTATTTTAATATAGTTGACTTTAAAAGATTAATTGCTAAAATATTAAGATTATATGTTCTAAATTAATTGTACTCCATAACAAATACATGGAGTCTAGTTTGATAGAATGACTCTCATTATTTGTTGAACCATTATCTAGTAATGATTGTCAACCTGTCATGACCATAGGGTAAGGTTAAGAACTAATAGGATTAACATTATATGGTCAAGACTCATTTCATGCACATGAAATAATATGAGAAATGTTAGTTAAACCCATCAACAATCAATCTCAATATTAAAGTGTTTAAAAGTGATTCAAATGCTTGAAAGATCAATTGGTTCCAATAAATAAGAAGAAACTTTGAATATTCATAGTGTAAGATTTTCCTGGATAGAGATCATCTATGTGAAAGAATGATATGAATATAAGCATAATCGAGTCAGGTTAACACAACCAAATTTGGCATGCCAAGACTCAAAAGGTCCTATGAAGAAGGCTAATAGTAGAGATGTGGGGTCTAGAGAGCTTGATTCTACTAAGATTTACTCAACTAAATATGCATGGTTGGCTCTATGTGTAGTTTAAATGAAAGTACATAGTAAAGCTAAGGATGTTCTAGTTAAAAGAGCATAATTAGAATTTGGTTTATTTGACCAAAAAAAATGAATAAATCATGATAGTATGTTCAAATGACCATGACTACACTAAGTGATGAATTTAGCTAAAAGAACATGGATAATTCAATAATTTCTTTTTGATAAAAAAACATTATTAAGAAGGTAAGTAGTATATGTTGAATCCCATGAGCCTAGTGTACATTAGGGTTTTGATGATTACAAATATTATTACTTATACTAATCATAATTTTAGTTATGTATACAAGAAGCTAGTTTCATACTAACATTGTAGGAAGAACATAATGGGATGAAATTAGGATGAGGACCTAATGAAGCTAAAAGAAATGAACATGAAGCAAATCCCTTGGATAAAAATGACCAAGAACTAAAAAGTGTTTCAACCTGTAAACTTTTATCTTTATCTTCTTTATTATTTATTTAACTTGAGTGGGTTGAACAATCACACACACATACGAGGGGTGGAACAAATTTAAAATAAAAGTGAATTATGAAATTGCTTTGATACCAATTGAAATTATTAGATGCGCCAAGAGGGGGGTGAATTGGATGATTAAAAAACTTCTTTAATGAAAAGAAATATCTTTTTATGACTTTATGCTGAAGCGAATTTCATTCACAATAAAAAGATAGATAATCAAATTCATCCACGCAATTAACCACAATAAAAATAAAGGAAAGAACACACCAATTTATAGTGGTTCGGTCAAACCATGACCTACGTCCAGTCCCCGGAGGCACCCTCCGAGTATTACACTAAACCTTTAGTGATTCTCCTTTAGCTCCCACAGCTAGGCGGAGAAGCCCTTACACAATCACTTCCACCTTCCCCGGTGCGGCGGAGGAGCCGGGTCCTTTGACACCAATGAGATCTTTTTCTTCCCAAAACTTCCTTCAAGACGAACCTTGAATCCGATGGTACTGAGGTGCAAGCTCGCCGGAGCAACCGTGTGATCTTCTTCACACTCCCTTGAAACCCTCTCCAAGGATCTTCTCCCTCTCTCAAACTTCACCTTTTCCTCTCTCCCTTTCAACTCCTCTCTTCAAGTTTTCTCCAAAAGAACAAAGATACAATGGCTGCCAAAAGACTCTTACAAAGTCTTATGAGAGTGCTTAAATAGAGGGCTCAAAAACCCTAAAAATACTCAATTCAGCCACCAAATATCGTACCGTACGATCTCATGATCGTCGAGTACGATGTGCAGAAATTGACCTGTTAGTACTGTACGATCCAGTTAGTACAGTACGATCCAAATGAAAAATTTCAGCCGTTTTGATTGAATAATCTCAGGATAAATTTAGGCAATATTTCAAACATCGTACCGTACGATTATGATCGTACAGTACGATTATACAACTATTCAAATTCTAATTTTTGCCTAATTTAATGGACGGCGGGCTTTCTAATTATAACAGATCGTATAGTACAATGTGGTGGTCGTACAGTACGATTAGTTATATTCAAAAATAATTTTTTTAGGAAAAAAAATATTTTAATTTATTTCTGTTACACGAGATCGTACAGTACGAAATAAATCCGTATAGTACGATGAACAGAAAAGTTAAAATATTTATAATCATTTTTTGCTCCCTCTCTGTGTGTGTGCATGATCAACAAACTAACATACATCATTATAAGACTTGACTCGATAAATGAAAATTACAGACTCATTTAATACGACCAATTCTATGCAATCTTGAGCATTGAATCTTCAAAGAATGGTGCATGATGTACCTGAAATATTAGTCAACATAGAAAGACATATGCACTGCAAATACTAGAAGAAATAAAATATTAATAAATATTATTTGTTATCATCAAAATCATAAACTCGGAAGCCCGAGTTGTAACAAATTAAAACATTTGAGTTTTTTTATGAAATTGTACTATATGATATGAGTGACAATTTTATATTTTTTAAAGATCAATGCCATTAGTTAATGAAACTTAAGGATTAAAAAATTTTGTATTACTTGATCTATATCGTAATAGATGATTAGCTATTTCAAATTCAAATCGTTAAAATTCTAAATTTCAAAACATAGCTAAATTCAGAATTTGAGATATTCATATAATATGAACATGTTCATAGTGTTCAAAAGTAAATTCTTGGTATTGTTATTTACCTATTTTAGAACCTAAAATGAAGGTGGTAAAATTATAGTAGATATCATACTATATGATCCTAAACGTACAATGCAAATAAATAGAGATATTATTTGATCAAACTTTATTTAGATGGATCGATCCAATACTTTAAGTCTCCTAGCATGTGAAGATAATATTGTATAATAATAAACCAAAATGTAAAGTTAATTAATTTATTTACTCTCATTATTATTGTAATACAAAAAGTTTTTAAATGAAAATTTTAAAGTTAATTAATTAATTCACTTCCATTGTTATTGTAATGTAATTATTGTTACAAATTTTAAAGTAATTTTTAAAATTATCCAATTCACCCCCTCTTGGTTATACCTAG